TAACCTTCGGGGTTTGTCACACGTGGTGCCACGTCATCACACAAATAACCTTTACTAGACCTTTGGATTGCGCCACGTGGCGACTCGTGGCGCTTCGTAATAACTTATACCAGTCTCTTGTGCAGTCACACGTGGTGACACGTCATCAAAATCGCAAAATTTAAATTTTACCATTCGTTCTTATATTATTATTTTATATTGTAATTAAGAATCTATATTTTATTATACTTGAAATAAAATGACAATATATCTCGTGAACTGATATTTTAAATTATAAAATATTTATAATGATTGTTAATGAATTTGAGATTAAAATAAAACAGAATAATTTCAATTTAAATTTCATTAAATTCAATTAAGTAATTTCATTTGATCATTTGAAATTAATGAATTGTTCATTCTATTGTTTCATCATTTACTTAATATTTGTAACTATTTCTTTTTTTACTTTACTTTTATACAGATTATAAATTAAATCAAATATATTTATTATTTCTTATGAATGATACTATGTGTTATCAAGTTAATTTTAGTATTTACTAATGTTTTTGATTTCTATACATTTCTCCTTGTTTGTTTTTGACTTTTTATTAACCTAAATTCAATCTATTTCTACTCGTATTATCATTATTTTGTTTATTCTTTAATCGTTACTATGATTGTTAAATTAACTTTGTATATTATTTCAATATGAATTAATGGTAAAAATTATATTAGTTATAAACTTGAATGACTTATTGAATTATTGTGGTTATCTTAGTTCTGTTTATATTCATATACAATTACATCATACAATTGTCTCATTAGAGAGTGTTCGTTGTGATGTAATTTCACCTGTGTATTTTCAATTAATTAAATCTTTATCTACTCTTACTTATTTCTTTCCTTTTTACTTCTTTTTCTTTTCTATCTTTTTCTTTTTTCTTTTATTCTTATGTTCTTTATTTCTTATGTCTTTCCTATTTCTTGTTTCCTTATTTCTCTCTTTTATTTATCTTCTTGCTTTTCTATATTTTTCTCCTTCTTTTTTTCCTTAATTTATTACTTTAAACCAACTATTCCTATTTCCTTTTCTTTTATTATTATTTTCTTTCTTCTTTTCGTATGTTTATTTTTTCTTTATCCTATTTTTCTTCCTCATTTATCCTTTAAAGATTTATTCTTTTATCTTTTCTTTTATTTATTCTTTTATTTAATTTGAAGTATACTTTTATAAAACCACTTCTTGATCAACTAATTTATTCAATACAGACTGTTTGTTGTATTTTCATTTGTTTATTATGTTTTATAAAATATTTATGTTCTCCTTTTTCTTATTCTTTTATTTTTTATTAACTTTCTTCTTATTTATTATTTTTTATCTTCTTTCTTTTCTTTCTTTTATTCTTTATTTTATATACTTTCTTTTATTTTATCTTTATATTCTTTTCTTCACTCTGATTACTCTTTCTTTTCTTTTCTTTTTTTACCCTTCTTTTTATTTGACAATCCTTTTAAATGTATCTTTATTTCTTTTTATTTTATTTCTTTTCAATTATTTCTTGTTGATAAAATTTCAATTTCTCACTTCTCTTTTTGTTCTTTTCTTATTCTTACTTATTTCTTGTTTTTTTATTTCTTTTTCTTATTATCATTTTTTTATTTTACTATCTCTTCTTCTTCTCTTATTTCTCTTTATTCTTTTATCTTTTTCTTCTTCTATTTTATCTTCTTCTTTTCTTCTTTTTTATTTTCTATTTCTTCTTATTTCTTTTCTTATTATTATCCTTTACTTTTTATTTATATTTATTATTTATTACTCCTATTTCTTATTCTCTTATTTCTATCTTTTCCTTTCTTTTTTATTTTATACTATCTCTTCTTCTTATTACTTCTGTTTTTTATTTCTTTATCTCTTCTATTCCTATTTTCCTTTCCTATTATTTCTTTATTTCTATTATTCTTTATTCTTTATCTATATGTTTCTATTTTCTTCTTTCTATATAATTTTTTATGCATTAATGTTATTTCTTATATTATTTATTGTTTATGTTATTTTTAATGAAATTCTGTGGTTATCATACAAGTGTTTTTTATATTTCTATTTCTATTTCTTTTTCTTCTTCTTTCTTTTTATTCTTTATTCTTTAGTACTTCTATTTTCTTCTCTTTATTATGTTTTACATTTTTCTTCTTCTATTCTTTCTTCTTTATTATTTCTTTATTTCTTTTTTGTTTATGTTTAAACCTTTATGTCTGAACT